GAGATCAGCTACAGAGATAATAAAATGTACCATATCGCATGTCCTAATTGTGAAGAGCCTCATTACTCTACCCATTTAATGCAAACGTTCTGTCAACATTGTCAGTTCACTGTTCAACTATTGCCCAGGTTCTTTTCAATTTCTTACATTAGTCATAAATCAAACACTCTATTTTCCAAACAATTTCATCTTTCTCTAAATATTATCACTTTTTCTTTATAGAGTATCTATTTCAATTTCACTTATTGATCGAACTGGATCAATATATGCAACTGGCATGGATAGTGAAGCTGAAAATTTGCTTGGATATTCAACAAGTGAAATTTACCATGCAAACCAACAAGTAATTATCCATTCCCTTTGTTTCCGCAAGTATTTTACTTATTCTTTTCTATTCTAAGAACTACCATTAGTGATCCTTCTTTTACTATTCAACCAGAATTTTGATACCGTCAGCCTTGTTGTACCTAAATTATACGGAAGGATGCTTATTTGCTGCATTAAACCTTCTCCTCCAAGATTCAGGTTGTCTCAAGCAACTGCATTCAACATTATAACTTCATACTTTTTGGATGATCTTCTTGGCATTGATCAAATCGACTTTAGCAACCTGAACATTCAGGATTAAAAATGAACTTGTTTGGTTTTCATATTTAGAATGACTATAAAACTTAAACTTCTTTCGGATGACAAACATGGAAGCGGAGGCCTCGGCATTACTGGAGGGTATGTTGCTCTCCACAGGTTACCACTCTCTGCAAGTTGAAATGGACTCTCAGGTTCTGATGGCTATGGTGAATGACAATGGACGAGTACCTTGGAAGCTATGGAAGACTATCTCACGCATCCAAGCCTTAGCGCTGGGCCGCCAGGTTACCTTCTCTCATGTCTATCGGGAGGCAAACGGGGTGGCTGACGCCCTGGCAAATCTAGCAAGTTCCACGGGTGTCGATCACAGCTTTGGGGCCTCCACCCTCCCGGACTACATACAGGGGCTAGCCCGCCTAGATAAGATGCGAATGCCTTATGTACGGTTGTCTTAGCCCTTCTGGCGAACATCTCAAAACAGAACATCTCTTGTGTCTATTTTTGAATAAATTTGGGAGTGGCGTCCCCCCTCGTGTTCGAGGTTAGCCGGATTAAAAAAATAAAAATAAAAATAACAACACTACATTGTTCAATTCATTTTACTCGGTTTAATATTTCAGTAATTTTCATTCTGACCATGATTATCAACTAACCATTAACTGGACACACACACACACACACACACACACACACATATATATATATAATGTGTAGTCACACCGCACACCGTGCGATGACAACCTCCTAGTCCCTAACACATATGGTCAACTATAAACTATTTATCAGTAGCCTTTTTGGTCTCACATCAAATCAGAAAATTAGTTAGCAACACATTAGTTTGAGAAGATACAACTAACTTGTTTATTGTCTCAAGTTTTTTCGTATCTGGCTAAAATACCTTTAGAAGTGCAATTGATATTTAGATTGACTATTGTTCATGTTTTTATAAGCCTTATCACATAGATTTAGAATGCATTCTTACAAAAAAATTATATTTAGTGGAACATAGCTAAATAAATCATGTGATGCAATAACCACAAGTTTGTGTAGATTAGGACAAAAACTATCAGAAAATAATGTACAAATCATGTAAAATGTCACTAAATTATTAACTTTGACTGATTTTGATCGCTTAACTTTTTTAGCTGAAAATGTTGTTCAACTAGGCAAACAAAAAGATAGCCACCAAATCTACACGCCAAGGATTTATGAGCAAAATTGTCAAAAAGCTTTTGAACAAATTAAAGGAAAAATAAAAGTTCCATGACTTTTATGTCATCCTCCTCAAATATTCGTACCCGCCATCACCGCCATCTCCCTCATGATCAGCTACAGAGTTACCATTACCAATACCAGTGTCTAGCTTTCATTTTCAGAATATAGTCTGTTGTTTAATAGGCAATTTATTTTTGATAGTTTACTTTCCTTAAACACTTATTAATTTAACTGCTTCAATCATGACCAATTGTATTGTCTATATTGTTGAGCAATTATATTTTATAACTGTTTTTTTTTCAAATCATAGTGCAAAGCCCCTTTATGTTTCATAATCATCATAAAGTGCTGATTTGCATGATAAAAGTCCAAAATTGGAAACTAGAATAACTATAGAGGGAGTCAAGGGTATTGAGAAAAGAGTCAAACAAAAGAATGAGAAGAGATATACGAGTCCAACTTGTCAAAAGTAAAATGTAAAGTCCACTTTCCATGGAAAGCAATAGTATTTTTATAATTTTAGGTTATAAGGCAACATTATTGTACATAACCCACAATTGTCCATTTACATAATTGACCTTATTCTTATGTTGTATGTTTATAAGTATTTTTCTCATTGAAAAAAAAATATAATAGATATCAAATGGGAACCTTTTTCATCCCCTATTAGGGGGAAGGGTGAGATTCAAGGATAGTGAGGTGGGAATGGGGGATTTAAATCTAAAACTTCTAATACATATCAAATAGGTACTTGTTACTCTACTGAATATAATTAAGTTTCACGTTCATATATATATATATAAATATATTGGTTCCATGACATTTATACACGTTGCAAATTTAATTTTACTAAAGCCACACATACATACATACATACATACATACATACATAAATATATATTAAACTCCGGTAGCCATTGAATTTTTTGAATAGTCAAGGTTTGACCTCTCAACTATTAATAGTATGTTTTTTCCCACTAAATTATCAAATGTGCAAATTTTTGGCCATTTCGTCTGATTTCATTGTTAGCTCTGATAGATCTAAGGGTCTGCACAATTTATAAGACATACTATTAATAGCTAGATTTGGCAGAACTAATGCATGCATATAGCCCAAAAATAGAAAAATGCTAGTAATTTAATTTCTCAATAGAAAATCTATATTCAATTTCATAATCTCTACAATAATAAAACGACAGCAGATGATTTGGTATAGACAATCTCTTGACACAACCAATGAAATACATTTTTATAATTTCAGTTTTAGCCTTCAAAATAACTCCTCACCAATGACCGTATTGGATGATACAACCAATGAAATACACCCACCAAGTTTATCGCTTAAATCTTCCCCTTTTTTTTGAACTCTTTCACTCCTCTTCATATTTTATTGACCCACAATTATGATTAGGACTGTCAAAGAGATCGAGGCTAGCTCAAACTTGACCCGAGAAAGCACAATTATGATGAGGCTCAAACTTGATATAGACTCAACCCTTTAATCTGCATATATATATATATATATATATATATATATATATATATATATATATATATATATATATATATATATATATATATATATATATATATATATATATATATATAATTGTACATAATATATTCATATTTTGATAACACACACACGCGCGCGCGCACACACACACACACACATATATATATATATGGGGTTAAAAACAAAAAAGCCCCCCTGTGGTATATGTAATATACAGAAAAGTCCTCCGTGATTTCAAAACATACAAAACGACACCTCACGTTTTGAACTAAATTGTAAACTAACAGAATTTGTTAAACTTAACGGAATCCGGTAAGTTTAACGACTGAAACCGTCATTTTCGTTAAGTTTAAAGAATTCTATTAGTTTACAATTTAGTTCAAAACATGAGATGTCGTTTTGTATGTTTTGAGACCACAGGGGGCTTTTTTGTGTAGTAGGTATACCACAGGGAGTTTTTTTGTTTTTAACCCATATATATATAATTATACTTAAATATATAATATTACTTTATACTAATGAGTTATGTGTCAAAATATATTAATATATATATAAGAAATATTAAATATATAAAATCGTGTCAAAAGATTCAGAAGGACAAACCTTAGTACAAACAAATTAAGAACTTTTGAAGATGTATTGACTGTTGATAATGTTTTATTATTATTTTTTATGCACTTTGAATTAATTGGATACATTATTATTGGAAAATTCCTGGTTAATAAATTTTTTAATAAACTATTACTAGTTTGTGTAGTTTTAATGTTGTGGTCGTGTGAATGTTAAATTAGCTTTAGAACTTAATAGATATAGTAATTATATATTAAGGAAATTAAGGAGTAATATAAGTGAGTTTGGGTAAGCCTAAATTAAACTCACAGTTCAAATATTTTGAGTCAAGTATGAGTTTTACATTTATCAATATGAAACTCATAACCCAAAATCCGAAAATGGTACTAACTATATGAGTCAAGTCTGAACTTGTTAAAATCCGACTCAGATGGCTTGATTAACGGGCCTAAGATTCACTAGGGACAGAATTTAAACCTAAAAGTGAAGAAGACTTTCAAAACTCCTCTGACTATTAGGACGACCCCATGGTTATAACTTAAATTTAACCGCTATTTTCACATAACCATTGAACTGCAATTGCTAGCTATTCAACTTCAAATTCAAATTACAGACCCATGCATAACTTATTCTTAGAATTATGCTATAATAAACGTCTACTCGATCTCCCCTGTAGGAAGCCTTTTTCATATTTTTCCTATCGCTTGTCATAAGATTTTGATACTTTTCAAATGTTGAATAAAATAATTGCACAGATGATTGTCGTAATCCAACTTAATGTTAGGGTACGTCCTTTTTTTTTTTTTTTTTTCTTGCATATAGAGATTCATTAATCAATTATCTCAGATAATTTCTTGATTTAATTTTTTCGCTTGATTTTTATGAGATTTTGCTATATTAATTTTTTAAAAATTTATTACTTCTAGATTTTGCTGTCTACATTCATCAGTTCAAATGATTTTTTTTTTTTATAGCAATTGGATGCATATATGAAGGTGCATCCATCACTAGTGTAAATAATTACACAACAGTATAGTTTTTGACTGCCAGAATTACCCTATAAACATCATAAACATGGCCTCAAACAAACATATACAAGTCCTAGAAAAACGAAAACCTTCCCAAAAAGAAAAGAAAATCATTAAAAAAAAAATTCCAATTATCCTCACCCAGAGAGACGGCCACTCGGCCATTGCCTCCCAAAACCGCCCCCCAAATCACCACCGTCCTCCGCCGCCTCGGTCGCCACCTGAAGAATTCCTTCCTTCTCTCTCTCTCTCTGTTTCGGGTTCGCCCTTGTTTTACCAAAACGGGACCTCATCCGGCCCAAAATGTATTCTGTGATAACTGGACCGGGTCGCGATTTCCTTAACTCGGGTTCTAGGAATGATCTTCCTTTTTCTCAGGTAATGTGGTTCCATTCATGTTTTATTTGTCGTTTTATTTTTGAGAAAGTTATCATTTTGGATGAATTTTGCTGACCCTTTTTCTGGTGTTTTTACGGGGTTTTGGAATTCGATTAGTTGGGTGCTTTGTCTGTGAAATTTTTAGCTGGGAAGTTTGTATGATTACTTTTGATGAGGTAAAAGTTTGTTGATGAATGTTGAGTGGACGTGTTTTTTATTGGAAAATTATATGTTTAAAGGAAATGGTTAGTTTAGAGGTTGTTCTGGACTTGGGTCATATATGCATTGATGTTTTAGGGTTTATTGGATAGGAAATTTTCTGAAAAGGATGCCTTTAGAATTCTGATGGATAAAGAGACACAGTTTTGGACGATTTATTATAAAGGGCATTTAGCGGGCCAATGTACAGAATGTAGACTTTCTCTGTAATGGGTAATGCTTCAGAATCTTTTGATTTTGAGGGAACGGTAATTGTAATGAAAATTAGAGCTAGCTTTTACTAAGAAAATTAGGAATAGAAGTTGATTCAGTAACATGGATAAGAAAGAAATGATCAGCAATGAAGGAAGTGGAGATTGAGGAAGAAACTTGTGGAGAAAGTAAAAGTTCCATTCACCGCCAAAAAGGTTTACAAAATTTCAGAGATAATGTGATGTCGTACTACTAAAGCTACTTATCCTAATGAAATAGAAAAAAACATATAATGACCCTTGCTGAACTGGCATTCTAGCTAAATTGTGTGAAACTCGGAAACTAAACGCGACAAAACTGCAAGAAAAGGACAGTTAAAGCAACTAACTCTTAACATTATTATTTCGCCAAAATGACTTTATTTTGAGCTACTGACTCGCCAATTGATGAGACTGGTACTTTTGTTATGTAACAAAATGCATCAATACATTTTGTACAAATGTCAATTCATATGCCTTTATTATAGCTGCAAATAATGCCCGTGCCCTCTTTATTAATTAGGACTACAAGCTCTTCTTTTACACTATTTTCCGTGTTCGTATATGATCTTGACCAATTTTACTTCCTTCTTGATTACTATTATAGTTGATTGAGTGTAGAGGCATAATTTAGTTTGCTTGATATCATATTTAGGTGCTCAAATCAAGCTCAAACGCAGCATAGGACTTGTTTCCAATTAAGCTTGTTTCTACTGCCAACAAATGTGTAGAAAATAGTAAGCTAATCAAGATTAATAAATCAAGAGCTATTGATTAATATTTTGAGCTTAAACATGAAGCTTTGAGCTCATCAAGAATCTGAACCAGACCTGATGAGGGTGATTCTTATCTCAGCTGGCTGAGTTCAGTTAAAGTTCTAATCTTTTGGTTTATTGATAACAACTAGAATGCAAGTTTTAGCTTCTTGTTCTTAATGAGTGTTTATTGAGAACTGTGCAGTTAATGTTGCTCAGATGCCTGAAAGCATTATACTGCGTAGAGTTGTTCTTATTTGTATACTCCCTCCAATAATGATCATTACATTTTGAGATTGCTGCTTTATCAATAGTGAATGTTTAGTGCCAGATTTTTCTCCAGATTCCCTATCTATCGTTGCAAAGTAATGCTTCTAAATGCTAAAGGTAGCTTGACTGAAGAGAAGTGACATGCAGTAGAGAAAACTTGTGGGCCAGACTTTTAATTTGCTTTCAAAAAAATTTTTTTTATTTAATTTGCTTTCAAATGTTGGGAAGGAAATAGTGCAAATTTGCATGTTGTCATTGTTGTCCTTATGTCTCAGCATGAAAATCTAGTCAATGTTTGACTGGTATATGTGTGCCCACCAGGGTAAAAAATTTATTACCTTTCGAAAATGAAGGGTACAAATTGGAAGGGGGACTTGATATCTCTGGTAATCACAGGAGTTTTGGGACAGACCAAATATGAAAGCACGACAGTATCAAAGAAACTGTGGGAATATATTTTCTTCTTTTGCATTATATGCTGATGAGTAATTGGTATCTTTCAGGCTTCTCAAAAAGTGTTTCCATCTATGCATATATTGTGGAACTGTGGCAACAAGCTGGAATGCTCCAGAAGAAGTAATCATGTTGGCCCTAAAGCTAGGTTTACCTCCCTAAAATGCAAATCTTGTTTAAGGTTAGAGGTGGTCCCTCGATTCTGTTGTGTTTCCCTAACTCTAATTTTTCTACTGCTTTTTTTTTTCCCTTCTTCTTTTTGTCGCTGTTCTTTGTGCTAAAATTTCATGGTTATGGTTGGCATTTCCAAGTACAGAACCCTAACTGCTGGTCCGCAAACCAACTCTGCCCCGCAAACTGTATTTTATTTCAATTACAAGTATACCAGGTTATCTTCTCGAAGTTTTACTTTTTGTATGCCCTATAATGCCCTCTAAACAATTGAATTTTTTCTAAGAGTCCTTCCTGCTAACATATCGGATCTATTACAATTTTTTGAAAATGGACATTATTTAAAGGTGAAAGTCTATAAAATCGTCAATCCAAATGCACAGACATGCACATAATGCTCCTGCTGAGTCTGCATTACAATCTTAACTCAAGGGACATAATTTTCTAGCTCATCCCAGGCCATGATACCACCTGGTGCTTAGTATATTGAACCTACTGGTGTTGTGATACAATGATCTCACCCGAATCATTGGATATGGTCTGATATTGTTAGATTGATCTAGCTTCAATTAGTAGGAAGGGACAGTTTCTTTTATGATAGTGCATACTCATTCTTGCCTCTGTTGTTAATTATCCATCTTGGATACTTGTATGATGATGCAAGCGCTATTGCTGTATGATGTTTGCAAATAGAAAAAAATTATTGAATTTGTGAGAGTTCTTTTGTGAGGTGGAGTTTTTTGTGACCTGAGTTTACTTTTAATTCTATAATACAACTGATCAATGTTTAAAATGAGAATTTTGTTCTTTGTAGTGTCCAGCTTATTTTAATTCATTGTCATTAGGGTTGCTACCATTTAATTCTATTCTTACTGATGCTTTTTTTTTTGAAAAGTTATTCTTACTGATGCTTGAACTTTAATTCCACTCAAAGCACTGGAGAATGAAGTCATCTTCTATGCACATGATTAGCTTTCGATGTTCTTTTTTAGCTTAGATCTTTGACTGAAGTCTTTTAGCAGGAACATTATTAACTTTTCATCTGTGTTTTTGGAAGTGAATAATATTTCATTACTCGGTGATTGAAGCAATATAAACCATGAAAATCTGAACTCCTGCAATGATATTATTATTATGAGTGCTTCCTTGAGGAATTTAATCTTCTTCTTTGTTCCTACATTAGACCAATGATGTTCTTTATCTTGATGGAAGTATTTTGGTAATTTAAACGAAAATACAGATTGAGATATGTGTTGGACAGAATTTATGGCCAACATTAGTTTTCTTTTTCAAAATCGTAAGAAAGTGGGATATGCTTTCCTTGCCAAGAGCATTATTTGCACTTAAATTTGAGAGTGTGATGAAGTTGCTGTTTTATCAGTTTCTAAGAAACATCTGAAGGCCAAGGGCTCTAACTGGAAAACTACTATGCTTCAAGCTGATTAGATGAGTTGTTTGCAGGGTAGGCACCCCTTTTACACTTGGACCAAGGAAAAAACTTCTAAAGTTATCGGCTTTTAAAAGCAATAGCCAAAACGATGGACCTGGGGGCAGGCCTACTGGGTCAAAGTCGTTGAAAAATTCTGTTGGTCTTTCTTATGTACCACAAGATGGTGAAGCAACATTGGTGGGTTCTCCAAAGCCTCAGAGTGATCCCACATCCTTCTCTTCAGAAGCAGAATCAGCAACAGGTTCCTTGGTGATACAAAATTTATTCAAAAGCTGGTTGATGCTACTGCGGAGTCCACCATCCAACCATGTTATAGATGAAGGCCTGGAAGAGTCATCCTCATTGGGGACATCACAAAATCAAGATGCAATACTGCAGAAAGGAAGAATCAACATTCTGAAGATGATGTGGTGCTACTTTTTGAGTCTGGATGTCACAATAAAGATACCTTTAGTGATATTGTAAGTTTGTTTTTTCCCCTCCCTTCTTCTCTATATAAAGATGCCACTTATCTGATGCTTCAGATATGTAAATATTGCTACTGTTGTATTGCCTCATGGTGTTTTGCTTATCATTAACCTAAACAAACCCTAGCTAATGGAAAACCGTACACTACAAGTTTTAAGGGAAGGAAAAAGATAGTAACAACTGAACTTGTTTACTCCTTTTTAATTTGATGCTCATGCCAGATCAAGTAGTCATTGTTCTTCAACATCGAAAAGTATCAGCTTTCTTGGTTGTTTCTAAATGGACAGTACTTGTATGTTGAAATGGACAGAAAAACTACACTTTATCCTCTAACAGCAGATTTCAACATTTTTACCTCTAGATAAACAGTCTATTATAGTCTTCTCTCCTCCAGTGTAATATAATACCACTGTTAAATGGTTACAAACTTGCTTAAGCTGAATCTGGTAGTTGATTGCAATGCTTTGATCCAAATAGTAGAATATAATCACCCACAAAAGTTAATATACCACAATCTCCACGGACTCGACTAGTCTCATACATAGTTTAACATTTAGCTTTTAGTTAGTATTAGGTGTTTGAGTCTCACAGACATAGTAATCTTCTAGGTGTAAACTTCAAGTAACTTCCGACTTTTCTGTTCGAAATGACTGTCAAGGTGGAGGAGTGACTTATATTTTACTCTTTAAGATGTCTAGGAGTTTGTTTGAGACTCTCTATAGTGAAAAGGCTAAGATCTTACCTGTGTATGTTTTTATGTTCCTCTACTTTGTTGCTTATTCATTGTCGGTAGTTTTGGACTGAGGGATGGAGGGCTGCCAAAGACGGTTAATAAATCATAAGCGTTTAAGTAAGCAATGGGTCTGTAAAGCTACGTAATTCTCTTGCTTGCATGACGAGGAGAATCTATCAAGTTGTATGATCTACATTCCTTTGGAAGTTGAGTTTTGGAATTTGAATTCTTAACACAAGTTATCAATTGAATATGCAAATTCAAAGGAAATTATGGGATGGAAGTTTCTTGTACAAAATCTTGACTTCAAGTCTTCTTGATCTAGCGTGCTTAATTCAATTTTAGGCCTTAAAATTCAAGCTAGATAAAATATTAACTACACTGCTACAACTTTCGAAGAATCAGCCCTCTATTTTGGAGTCGACTGTCTAGAGGAGGTGGATAGCTTCACCCAGAAAGTGCTCTCACACTCTTCAATTCCCCTGCATCCCTTCTGCTCAGGTGGTAAAAGAAAAAGAAGACACAAGCACTTGCATATAGGCATGCACATGCTCACACAATGTGCCAACCACACAGATGTCTTGCCAAATAGATTATGCATATAGGCATCTCACTGTCACTCACAATTATCTTAGGCAAAGTACAGATGAGCAACAGGAATATATCAATAGTGCTATCCTGTAGAATTTTTCAGACTCTGTCACTGTTGATTCCTTGTTGTGTTTCATGCATAATCTAGTGCTTTTGCTTTATCCCTGGCAGTATCTAGGTGTAGAAACACCGGATGCCGCCAGTATGATGGCTTTGTACAGAATGTAATTCCTGTCAATCATTATGCTTTTGTTGCCTCGTCTGATTATTTTCTCACAAGAAGGTTAGGGATTCACATTCAGTCATGTTTTTCTTGCATTTGCAGCATACCCTTGTATCTAGCAGTTAATATAATTTATGGAGCTGAAGTTTCGAGAGAGTTGACCCCTTTATGGGTTTTGGGGCCATTAATTGCTGCTCTATATGTTAAATTATGGCGTGGCATAGGTGCACTTTATGTTTTCAGCTTCAAGCAGACGGTTAAACTGCTCATCAGCTTACCAACCTGGTATTTGGTAGCTCATGACTATATTGGCAATGGGAAGCTTAATCAAGTTGTAGGACATTTATTTCAGCCTCTGGTAGATCTCAGGAACATGGATTACAAAGAGGCATCTAAAAGAAAGCTGAAAGAATTGGAAATCTTTGTGGTGGAGAAATACCTGGACTTTGTGGAATCAATTTGGCCTTACTACTGCAGAACGATCAGATTTCTGAAGAGAGCAAATCTGATATAGGTTTTAGCTGCTTGTAAGTTGAGAGAGATTTGATGAGTAAAGCGGACAGAAGTTCTGGGGTTTCTTGGTTTTTTCTGGGTCCTCTTCTCTCCTTTATTTTTGTTTGCAGAGTATAGATTAACCTAGGTTATCCTTGGGAGTTATGCCTCATTTTGAGCTTGGGGCAAATGATCCCTTGAGCACTTGGAGGATCGCAGCAGTGATGCAGTTTGATGTGATTCATGTTTTTATCACCTTTCTGGCGAGCCGGTGTATATTAATCTCAATTGAACTTGCTTCAGTAGGTATTTCGGCTCTTTCCAGTAACTTGCTATTGGACTTTTAAGGATAGGCCATTTGTATATCTATCGACATCTGTACATTTTACAGCCAAAAGCAGCCGTTATTGGTATCTCAATTATTTACTCAGTCTAGCTATTGGCTCATGAACTTTCTTTATGCAAATATCTATTTTGCAGTTACTCATCATGATTTAGGCAGCATCATCCATAATACAGTTAAAAGGAGATGCAATATTTGTTGATTTACCCGTTGTCTTTACATTATATCTCTGCCTTCTTTTTTTTTACAGCTCAGTGGGGTTTGTTTATTTATTTCACTCGATGCCAGCATCTGGTGCTGCCAGATACTCTTGATTTTTTTGGTACAGTGAAAGTTCATAGGAGAAACAGGTTTTTATAGCTTTTTCCTTTTTGTTCTTCTTTTCTGGTTAAAATCATAGCTGTTACATTTCTTCATTTACTTTGCTCCTCGAAGCTCGAACATGACTATCTATGATAGACACGCCGTCCTGTTTGTTTTAGTTCCAGGATAATTTCAGAAATCTCTCATAGAGTTTGTCTTAATATCATTTAGCTCTTCTTAATTTATAGAAATCTCATTTAGCTTTCTTAGAATGACAACTTGTATAACATTTCTTATCCTTATATGTAAAGTAATATTAAAAACTCTAATATAATTTATGAGTTTCAGAACATGAAAAAAAAAGAGGACAAATAGGGTAGGAATTCAAACTTATAAGCTGAGGGGATGTAAGTGCAATAAGTACTAGTTGCAACATAGTTTAGTAACCAAAAGGCGGTTGCTCGCCACAATGACTTGTGAAGCTGCCTAAACAGTATGAACAATGTTTGAAACTAAGCTGCCTAAACGGTATAAAGAAGGTTTGAAAATAAGCACAATTATTTTGCAGCAAAAAGGGAATTAAACCTTCGATTCTTTCCTATAAAGGAAGCTGAAAACCACGTCTTCTGCCAGCCCTTCCAATGATCCTTCACCGGAATGAAAGGATTTTTTTTTCCTAACTTCTCTTCATGGCTAAACTAGACAACAAGAACAGATTGGAGTAAGGAAAAACAAAAGATAGAGAGATAGCTTTTCTATGTGTTAGGTGGTCTGCTTGCCAAAAATCCACCTTCTAATCATATATACACCCAAATTGGCATCATTTTAGATGGCATTCTTGTTATTTTTTCCTTAGGTATTTTAGCTTAAATATTTGTTTTTAAATCTGCAACAATTTTTTTTCCTTTTACTCCTTCAGAAGTATAATGCTTTTGGGGGGCACCGTCATTTCATCGCCTCTAATTGAGACATGTTCTCAAATAATTTTGTTAAGGGAGGTAAATGAAAATTTAAAAATATGAAGGTACTAGGTGATATTAAGGTGCCCCAGGGGGTAGTCTAGTAGCAAAGCGGGCTCTTGGACTTAATGAGGTCCTAGATTTGAATCTTTCCCTAGACTTGAATCCACCTGTCTAACCTGGGTGCTTCGTGGGGGGTCGCGGCGTATCCTCCGATTTGATATGTCGGCTCGAGTCCTAAGTAGTTTGGGTCGGGGCATGTTCCAGATCATAAAAAAAAGGTGATAATAAGGTAAACTTGAGGAGAGATTTCTGAAATTATCCATTTGGTTTGATTATAAAGAGACCTACAAGATGCCAGCGTTATGTTATTTGGTTTTTCATAACTGTGGGTGCATTAGTTATGTGTTATTAGTTTGACAAATTTACTCCCTGGCACAGTTTCATTATGGTTGGATTGCCTGACACAAGGTGGCAGGAAAAATGTCAAGGACTCTGGTTATAAACTAAGGTGGCGTTTGGATTGCGATTTTTCAATGGAAAATCACTGTAGTTTTCCGACGGAAAATGCGGAAACTTGTTTGGATTGCGATTGTTCAAATATGTTGTTTGGAATGCATGATTTTTCACCAAAAAATTTGGCGCCATAATTTTTGATTGTTAGTTAGGCAACCAATTGGCTTCTTTTTCATTTAATACACAGCCAAACATATGTTAGTCCTACATATTGTCTTGCGTTCTTTATTAAAGATCCGAGTTCGCTTTGAATCGTTTTGGTTCCATAATAAGGCCCCCGAAACGCATGTATACTATACAATGGGATGAAGGCTATGAGGCCCCTCAATAACAATCATCATCCAAATTGTGTTGTGAATACATTCAATAATAGCATAGTCAAACTTAAATATAAACTACAAACACGATTTTCGTGGTGAGAAATCTGCGGCAGATCAGAGCTACCTATGAACATTCATGGTTGATTCACATTCAGTACAATGTGCAGTTCAAACTTGGTAATAAAACTAACCAGGCCCCAGTTTCCAAAACAACCCAACACTATACAAACTGTAGTGTAGTTGGTTACATAGCTAATCACCTTTTGCAAACAATGTCTTTCTGCAGCATGCAACCACGGTTTATAGCAGGGCATATGGCCTGCTATAAACCAAGGAGAAATCATACCAGGTGGTGGGCTAGCAAGCAGCATCCGGGATTAAACATAGAGCTAATCACAAGCAGTCAATTAGCTTGTTTGGACCATACTGACGTGATTTCATGACGTGTGTTTTTATAGGCATCCAATACACTGCATAAACAAAAAATAACCTGAAAATTTGAAGTGAATGCCACCACGTTTGAATGCATAATCATTAAACACGTCTAAAGCAATTCTTAAAAATGTCTGTTTCACAGGGTAAAGCAGCAAATTTCCTTACAATTTACAATTTGTCAATGGATATGCAGCACATCAAGCATAACATGTACAAAATGAGTGTCATTGATCGGTAGAATAATTGGACCACCCTTGCAGTCCATAAGTAACAGTTGGGTAGCAAATTTTATGATACGAAATATGGGCCGCTTATGGGCCATGTTTTGGGTTGCAAGAGATTGAATCTTTTAGTAATAGTTAGTAGTTTATTTTCCAGATTTCTATGTTATTTGCTAGGAATAAATTCGGTCCAAGACCTCATGTTGAGTTGGATCCGATTTATAGAGTCTAGACTCACTATTACTTAAATTGGTTAATTAGCTTTTATTGGGTTATGTTGGGCCAGCTTAAAGCCTTCATTGGATCGATTATAAACTGACCATTAGATAGTGGATTTGAGTAGTGGAATCGGGCCAAAAAGGCCTAGCCTAGCCGAGTTACGGTTTTCAAGTCACTTTAGGTTTTCAAGTTGTATGGCTATATATAGCCAAGGCAAAAGACCTTCATGGTTAGTTTTTGATGATTAATAACATTACATTGAGAGTTCTCTCAAAGCTTCATTGAAGCACCTTGAATATCTTAGATTTGTATCTTAGGTATTCAATTGACTTATCAATCTAGGATCGCGCTAGATTGTGGCGTCTTTTACAAATACCGAGGTTCGTTGACCACGTGATCAACGGGTTTAGGTGATCCACTGCGTTCGTCGTCTTCAACGTGAGTCTCTACCTTCTAGATCCAAGCCTTTTTGTACGGGTTGCATCACAAGGTTGGTGCCGTTCGTATCATTTTATGCAACAAAAGATAAAAGGATCAGCCTACAAAAGCCCCTAACATCCATGTTGATTTGTCATGGCTAATTAAAAGTGTTTTGGGCTCGAGTCCATGCTGCCAAATTGTCTTCGATGGTAGACATTCGACCTTCAACAGCATTCACTCTCCCATCCAACCTATCAACTACTTCACGCATGGCACGAACTTTGCTAATGACTGTTTGAAGCAGGTCGTGAACGGTCGGGCGAGTGGTAGCCTGAGATGTGCTTGCTGCATCGCTGGAATGCATGTGTTCCTCTTCATCCTCTTGCTCTTCGTCTCCCAATTCCTGTTCTTGGCGATAGGTGATTCAATTGATTGTGGCTTGGTTCACAATGCTTGAAGCAAAACTGTACGATTCACCTGTCAAATCTACACTGAAGTGCTCAAAAATACGCGTCAAAGTCCTAGCATAGGGTAGTGCTTTCTTAGCCCCCTTAAACGCTGCAGTTCTTGACATAGCCTCGAGTATGATTGTAGATATCGAAATCCCTGATATATTGCCTAATCCAGCCTCTATTTTGTCTAAGAAGTACACATCCATTGCCCAGACTTCATTCTTGCTGTTTGAAGCCAGAAGAATGTTGTGATTAAACAAGTACACCAATAAACTATGCCTTAACCTTAGACTTTTAGTAGGAATATGTGCTGATTCCATTCTTACATCCTCAGTCACAGGATCCGCTATCTGTTTAAAAGCATTAAAGCTAGTGCTATACTTAGGGAGAGTCAACTCGAATTACCATGTTGGATCCCCTTGGACAATGTACTTTCCATGTTTAAGCACAGGACCCTCGTCTATTGCTCCCAAAATCTCAGACAAAGACTGTCTTGTTAGAACTATATGTACACCTTTAACATAAGTCTCTAGTTCGACGGAACTGGCAATTTCTTTATTCGAAATGTTGGCATAGAATTGCCGCACCAAGGTCGGGTAATACAGTCGAGGTAAATCCAACATACAGTCCCACCCTATTGTTGCAAACTTCTCTCGAAAGCGATATAGGCCATCAAAGTTAGGATCAAGGTCGACTTCAGCTAGAACCGTATTATTAGCACGAACGACGTACCAATCTTGATTTTCAACAAAACTGAACCTAGATGCATCAAAGTTTGGGACTTGACTGATGCTATCACCACTGTTTAGTTCCCGACTCCTCTTACCACCGCTTCTCTTCCTATTCCTAGGTGGCATTGTTACCTAATTTACATAAATTGCACAACACAGTCGCCCTTACTTGTTAAGCATTATTTAGGTTTGTGGCCATGATAAATTATGAAGTACCAAACTAGTTTCAAGGGGCCTAGGTTTAACTACTGATGTGGCTCACATCATAAGTGCAAACATAAAAGGATCGGGCATCAGAAGCCAAACATATAACCAACTACTAACCATAATGCATTAAGGTCTAGACGTTATACACTGGCGAAATGAAGTAGCAACATATGCAACACACCATTCCAGCAACAGATCATGAAGTTATGTTTAATCCAAAGGGGTTTGTAATAACAATAGAACTACGGAAATTTACCAACTTTCTGTCAGTCTTTGAGCGCTGAACTCTTGCAATCCCTTCCCTTAAATCGTCTTGCCAATTTATCCAATCTGGTTCGAACGATTGCAATCCTAGGGCTCGACAACGCCGTTCAATTGATAGGCACTTCTATCAATTTATCCAATCGTGTTCCAGTATTGTCAGCCGATGTTCAGCAGACAAACACCGGTGCAAAGCAAGTTTAACAAAATCGGCGCCGGTGTTCAGTGAGTTCAGTAGGTAGCCTTTACAAACCAGAAAAAAATCGGCGCAAACCCACCGGCCATTACCGGTGCCGGGGTTTGTACAAGATAATCTTAACAGTTGGCCATTTTCTGTTCTATACACAAACATCTGTGGTTTTTTTAAACAAATTACACAACAGGGCAACATAAAAGATATGTATAAGCAATTCCTAGGTATCCGAACAAAGTGGGGAACACAAAAAATATCGTTTAACCATTCATACCGTTCAAGCATTAGAGCACAATACATATATATCTTGCAAAATTAGTTAAGCATTCAGAAACTGTCGTTCATCAACAGTATTTTTTGAAGCATCTTTACATAGTAATTTATGTCCAAATATGGACTAGGCCTATATAAGCATAAAAAAGTAGGAGATCTGTTCCCCATGAAACACAAAATAAGGGCCAAACTATTTGTTATACATAACAACAAAAATAACAAAGCTTTACTACATTTTAGGCACACCACCATTCAAATGTTGAGTCGTAACTATAGTCTCCCATTCCGGTGGTCATACATATGATCAGTTATGGCCATCCGGAAAGCATTCCAATCACGTTGTGCTGTAGCAGATAAGTCTATTTGCTGAGGTTGTGCATCGGGATCCACATTTATGTCTTCAATTTCACCTGACTCCCTTGCAAATTAATCATCCTGTGGATGCTCATCCCTAATGAAGTTATGTAATACACAATAGGCAATTACCAATTCTACTTGTCTACTTATCATATAGTTTGGCGTTGGCCCTTTCAAGATCGGGAATCTCGCCCTTAGCACTCCGAAGGTCCGCTCAATGACATTGCGCAGTTGCGAGTGCCGATGATTGAATAGCTCATACTTACCTCTTGGTCCTCCTGCTCCGCCGCCAAACTGATCTCTTTGGTATCTGTGTCTCTTATATAGGGCCAAAAAATCAGGCATATTCTAATACGCCGAGTCGACAAGATAGTATTTACCTACAGGTTAACACAGACCAAAGCTAACAATGTTAATTAATAGCACGATCTGTTTCCCAAGAGTAATCCCAATTTGAGAGTTGTTAGATCAACATATTGGTGAAGGCTAACTTAACCTGCAGGTGGCATTGGAAATAAAGAATCAGGGGACGGGACAGCATGTTGAAAAACTCTAGCGTCATGTGTACTCCCTTCAATGCCAGTATAAATATCAGTGAAACGCATGTCGTGGTCACAAGCAACTAGCACATTCTGTGAAATTTCACCCTTTCTACTACGAAAAGCATGTTGCCGTTTCAGTGGCGCAGAAGCAGAAATCAGAATGCCATCTATAGCACCAACACAGTCCTATCATGCAGGCAGTTTTAAGTATATGTTAGTACTAAACGCTAGCTATCAAACACCAATCGCATCCCCTACAACCGAAATTGTAGACGTGACAAGAGGTTGGAATGTTGGGACAAATAGAAGAGTATACCTTAAACCATGGATAGAAGCTGCTGTTGTTGTATATTTTGGGATGCATAACAATCTCGTTCCTCGGCCTTATGACAATCGGGCCTAACTGCACAATAGGTTGCAATGCCTCCATTCTATCATCGATCTAGTCTTTTCCAGTTTGTTTAGAGTCACGACAATGCCGCTTTTGGCCAACCATACTAGTTAATGTGTAGCATGGATTCAAAGGTGCATTCACACCAAATAAAGCTAAAAACTCAAGTTCATCATCATCTGATGATGAAGATGAATTTTGTCCTTCACTTGCATTATGCATTATGTCTACTACAAATAAAATGATATGGTTTCCAGTTACAGATACAAATATGGTAGCAGAAAGTTGCAAGTTTCAAGAATTGAAGGACATACAACCGAGAGAAAGACAAAAGATATATTTTGTGAAGGGAGAAGGCGCAAATGGAAATCAAGTTCATATCTCATGGCTTAATCAATGAAATGTAGCCAGGTGTTCATAATATCGGTGAAAAATATAATAAACTCGCATTTTGCCCTATAAACAATGAAGTACAAATGCATACAAACATCTAACTACGAACTAATGCCTTATATAACTGAAAATGTTGAAAATAGCATCATACAACAGCTAAGTTAACACAGACCAAGTGCTCTCCAATACAAGTTTAACGGGCCTACGTAAAATAAATTGAGGATACATCAGCAACCCATCAAGTTATAGGCTATTAATCCATGAAATCCTCTGGGCAGTGGACATTGCTATAAACATCTGTCTCCAAACATCTTCCTTAAAAAAAAGTGTATGCCTTATTGGCTTGACCAGAAAGGAGGAATGTTTTCAATTTGTCCATTTTTTGTACACAGTTGGCGGCGGAGAACTGAGAATTGGGGTCAGGTGAATTATATGATCCAGACTTACTGGAGTAGTATTCACGCTTTGCCTCAGCTGCAAGGCCGAACTCCTCATAAGCACGATCATATATTTCATCATGCTTTCTCTTCTCAGACAAAGACCTTGAACCCTCTTGCAAAGAAGAGCTAGCTCAACTATTTTTACGTTTCCCCTTCTGGGCACCCCGAACTTGTGGCTCCTCATCAGAGACAGCTTCACAATTCTCAGCATCTACATCAATTGGCGTTTCCTGTATAGGCACAGACCTCTCTGTACCTATTGTATAGTTACCCCCATTTCTACCATAGTTCGTTTGCCTTGATCAGGCTTCTTCCCCAGTTAGAGGTGGGTCATTAGAAGACTGGCCGTAAGTTCCTAGGGCGCCAATATATTCAAAAAGTTCAATCAAATTCCAGTAATGGTCGCTGGGCTGATTCTTGATAATACTTATGTCTTTGTCCTACACAGAATAGGCAATGGCAGAATTGATAATTAAAAACATTATATCCAAGATAAAATCCTAAGGAGTATTAGATAATTGGATTCACTAAAAGGAAGTCCCTAACCTGGCCATAGTATCTCCAAACATAATTTGGTGCAGCAAAGCACTTAAATGTTTCATTCCATCCTATGCCAGTTTGGCCCCCAATTTCCTTAAACAGGCGGGCAACCCTCATGAAACTGCAGTACTTCCTTTTGACTTGATCATAATCGTATGACATATGGCTAAACCTCATGTTGAGTCTATTCCGCACATCCTCAAACACACAGCCATTAATGTTATTTTTTGACAAGTTGCCCACTTCCTTGTGTTCCTGCAACAGCTGAACATAATAGCACTTTATTTCGTATTTCCACTTGGCTATGGCAATAGAACCCCCACAGCCATTTGTCTTGCCTCGGGCCATCTAAGAGGCCCAGAAAAAAAAGTATTATTAGTCGACCATTAATGGGAATATTCCAAGGCATTAATCACAAGTACAAATAGGGCAGTCATTATAAAAACTTGTGCTGAAGTGCGATTATGGTAGTACTTCAAGCACACCTCAAGGTCGTTTGAGCCACTCTCTGATTGACAATAGTTGCTGGTACTAGAACACGGCGTAGGGGAGTTTCCTAAATGATATGGCTAACGTTAGGGAAAATAAGGTGTAGTACGTCTAAATGCAACCCAAATATGACATATATACGTTTTGACAAAATTAGTATGGACCCATGGCAAACATAAGTAATTCACCTTTTAATTTTTGGGGACTCGAAGACATCAAACGGTGTGACCGCGATCGAAATAGATGCAGCACAGATCAGAGGCTATGCCAATGCCTAGAAGGAATGTAACCAAAACAAAGACGTTGTAAAAAAACTTATGCTGAAAGGATAAGTTTTATATAAGACGTCATTGATAATATTAACCTATCGCAACAATGGTTTGGATTGCATTAAACACTGGTTTGGATTGCAAGGCCAAAACTTTCTAAAAGAGTCCGAGGTCTTCCAAAATTGGCCCCCGTTTCAATCAATCAAATTACATTCTATTATACAATTCCAATAAGAGACTGTTGCTTCTTTTACAATTCTAGACAATCATTGATACTAATAATGGCCAATTTGGCACCTATAATAGATAACACACAAGTAAATAGTATACAGTAGAGGCGTGTTCAGATGCAAGAATATGACAAACAATGGCATCAAATTTTAACACGGCAAACTGCGGATGTGCTTTCATAAAAAAAAAGATTCATATTGGCAATATGTGAGAAACTTGCTACTCGTAAGGGGTAGTCTTATGGCGGAGTCCATGCCCAAAAAACACGAAATGGAAAATTATCGCCACGGTAAGACAGTAAAGCAGCAAATTACCCTACAATAGTATGAGGCACACACCCAAAAAACAAAAAGAAATCATCGACAACCAATTCAAAACTTATAGGGGATTAAGCGGGATAGGCAACTTCGTTTCACCAACGAGAAATAGCATTAAGGTTAGACGCATATCTTGCAACTAGTAGTCGAAATTACCCTCAAATACAATGCTACGAAACATTGGATTGCTTAAAAAGAAAGTCAATTTCTGCAGCAAAATAACCACGGGCAGCATGCCCAGCCCTAATATCCGTACAACTAACCCCAATTTGCAAACCCATTCAATAGTAGAAATTCTTGAATGCACAAGTTTTGCAGTATAGTCGAAACCAAGAAAAATGCTGCTTTTCGATCTAATGCAAGTAAAAAGGCACGAACCTGGTGAAACGACAATGTCCGGTGCAAAAATCAGCTTTCTCTAACCTCCGAGAACTACCAACGTTTGAGCCTGTTGGCAGCAATTGACGGCAGCACGAAGTAGGCTCCCCCCCTCCCTCGTTCACAACTTTCTGCGCTGGAATAAATGGTTGGTGATCTGCTGCAAGATGCTCACAGAAAGCTTGGGATCTGAATGATCCGTCGAATCTCCGAGGAGGATTTCGGTGAAATGCGGGAGATGAAAAATTGTTCAAAGGATATGTTTTGAAACAAAAATTCAACCAAAAAGCATTATGGCAAGATTCCTGACCGTTTTAAAGAAAGTAAAGTAAGGTAGCTAACAGGTATATGTTTTGTCAGCTACAGTCCAAACAGTGCAAATTTTGGTGGGTAATTTCTGAAGCTGTGAAAAAAGTAGACAATTTTTCAGTGAAAAATTGTGGGCCCCATCCTACAGAAAATAGCATTTTTCCGTGGAAAATGCAATCCAAACAGGGCCTAACCATTCTTAGTTTTTAAATAAAATAAAAGGCAAGAATACAAATAAAACTGACTGAAGAGGAAATTAATTTAACTACTAGTAAACTATGTTCTTAAAAGACCAACTCTATACCAGCTTCAAAAAAAAAAAAAACTGTGTGCTAGCTTCCCTTATCGTGGGGCTTCAGCAGTTTTTCATTGAAGCTACGAGAAAGAAAGAAAATGTCACAAATAATCACTAATTACACATGTACAATAATTTAAATAGTTTCAATTGTATTATTCATACTTCTTTTCAAATATTATCAGAATTCTTTTGCTCCATTTTGTAGCACCTTTTTCTTTTTGCAATTTTACTTGTTCTCCTTGCTCAAATTCTAATATACATTGAAATAATATAAGTTGGATTTGATATTGTGTAATGAAAAAGATTTGGAAACAAAAAGGATTTGAAAAATAGATACAAACCTTTGCATTTATTGAACTCCAATATTGGGCAAACATAGGCCACTAGTCATCTTCAACTCTTAGGACAATGTGACAAATACCTTCATCATTTCTCGCTTACCATGCAAGTGGTTGCCACGCCGTAATCGATTAACTAAAGTAAAATTTGAAAAAGAAATAAAGAAGGCATAGCAAGGAATGAGCTAATTAGCTTAATTAATTAATGTAGATCGGAAGAAATTACACATAATTCCCATGATTGAAAGGTCAGATGTTCAAATGCAATTTTCTCGGTACAAAATTAAGCCTACATTAAAAAAAAAGATCCAATAAATAAAGTAATTAAGAAGGCACGAAAAAAGTAACAACTTACCATGCATTCATATAATCAATCAACAAAGACACCATATAAAAACATTGCGTTCTCAACAATCATCTTATACATCTAAAAAGCGTAAAATGGTGGACAAAATTTTTAAAACCCAAAGTACTCTAGAAGTTACAAAATTGTTGTATCAAAAGAATAACTATTAGTAAATTGTTATAAGGAGGCATAAAGTTTCTCAAAAAAAAAAATGTAGAAACCAATAAAATGAACCAACTACTTCTTGATTGACATCTGCCTAATCATTTTATAAGTGCAGGATAGGATTTCAAATTTGGAGTTAATCTGATATGAGAATAAGATTTTCAAGTTTGTCCATAACCATTATTTTATATCTAAATTTTGATGATATATAACAAGTTTATCTAATCATGATTGAGAGAGAAAGATAATATTTGTATAAAAAAGGGTAAATTCTCTTAAATAGGATAAATTCTAACTATAGAGGAAGATAAAATTTGGAGATTATGAAGTGAAAAATTTTGAAAGATGATGTATTTTTTTAAATGTAGGATTTTAAAAGATATATGATTAAGTGGATAAGATATGTTTATTATGAAAATTTAGAAAAAAAAGATCTTATTAAAACTAACCAACAAAATAGGACAACCGGAAGAAAACTTGACCCATAAATGCTGTTCAATTAAGCATGCCAAGTAAGAGCGAGAAACAAGCCTAACAAAAATAGCTACATAACATATGTCTATTTTGAAAGTTTGGGAAGAAGTGATGTAACTTGACCGACAAGTAAGAGTGAGAAACATGTCTAATTAAAATAGCTATTTTCTATAATTCCTTGTATTTATTTTCCAAAATATAACACCTGAAATATAACTTAATGAATGTCCTATATATATAAATATTTATACATATATATTTATTTATATATCTATTGCATGTTGGGTCATCGTTGAGAAAAGTTATTCAAAATAAATTATCAATTTGTAATGCTTAATGCGATGAGTAATATAATAAATGCAATGCCTAAAAGCAAGATCTCTTAAAATTATTATGGGTTAGCTATTCAAGATATGTAAGTGCATCAAGACAATAAATCTAACCTAATAGGAGGTAGAAAAATATTAAAAACATAGTAATGGAGTCTACGAGTAGCGATTCTTATGTAAAAGAAAAATGGAAATGTAAACAAGTCAAAAGATTTTTTTTTAAAAAGTAAAAATAAATTAGATTAGATGGGTCTATGATAAACTAGAGACAAAAAATTCAGGAGTCATGGTTAAAGAAGATGAAGAAAAAGACTGCCTCAATCTTAATTTTGGGTTAACAGTTTTGGATTTTGTTAGTTCATATATTTGATGAAATAAAATGTGCAAATGCCATACCGCATATCCTTATAATATATAAGAGGCACTTCTTCTTTATTGTGCAAGCCGTTTTCATCTGCTTGCTTAGGGGCTTTTTTTGTCATTTGCCCTGCATAGTGTTGCCTGTCTTGCCTGCTGTACTATAGTCTTTTGCATGTGCGTTGGTTCAGATTACGGTTTGGCCCATTTGCTTGAGCTTCAGTCTTTTCATCTGCCTTCAAGAAGGATGTTTTGGTAATTAGGTGACTCTCACAATAAGTGTATTGACAATAATAACCCAAAAAATGCCTTTTGTTTGGTGTCTAGACAACCATCTCTAGGCTAGGATCGTCCTTTTAGCCCAAAAGGAAGTTTCCAGGCTTCCAACTAGGGCTGTTCACGAATCGGCTCGCGAGCGGCTCGAATACGAGTTCGGTCAATATGTCAAGAACTCATCAAATAAGGCCTTGTCGTTTTATTCATATTGTTTAGCGTTTGGTACACACAAGTCTCAGACACAAGAAACGGTGTCGTCCCACTAATTGACAGTTAGAAGTAAATGTAGTCGGTTAGGAAATAATTGCATAAATACCCTCCATTGATTGTAACAGAAGGTAGTTAGGATTTTTGTCTGAATATGTGCTAATCCCAATTCTTTCTTTCTTTCTGTTAACCCTCATTCTCTATCTCTCTCTCTCTCTCTCTTTCTGTTAACTTTTCGATCACCATTGAGCACCTTTGAGGCGGTGCAAGCTCAGAGCCTGACAGTTGGCATCAGAGCAGCCGATCCTTGGCTGCTGAGGGAGGAGGACTGCCATGGCGGAAAGCACGAGATACCGAATCTTGGAAGATCAACTGAAGAAGCAGGAGAGTCGACTCCAGGAACTAGCCGAATAAGTCACGACAGAGACTCCAGGAGGAGATGGAGAAGAGTAACAAAGGAGTCCAAGAGAATGAAGGAGGCACTTCTGAACCTCTTCTACCCACCCCGCCCTCGCATTTGCGACTAGCAACTGAAGCTGAACTAGCAAGCCACCAGCAGGAGTCCAGAGGTAGGGTATTCACCCCTAATTTACCTAGGTTGAAGTTGTCAATGTTCTCGGCTGGGAACCCCAGGGAATGGCTTAGGAAATGTCACAAATACTTTTTGAACTTCCAGATACTTGCTTGCCAAAAAGTAGACTTAGTAGAAATGTTCTTAGACGGCAAAGCTGATAACTGGTTCCAAGGGGTGAAACTAGCTAAACCTGGACTGAATTGGGAGGAATTTAGCGAGTTGCTATGTGAGAGATTCTCGGGAAAAGGATCGCTCGACATAGTAGAGGAATTTAACAAACTACAGCAAATAGGGACAGTGCAGGAATATGAGGAAAAATTTGAAGAACTAAAAACTTTGATGCTGACCAAGAACCCCAAACTGGATGAATCCTATTTCGTCTCCAGTTTTATCAGTGGATTGAAGGAGGAGGTCAAGCCCATGGTGAAGATGTTCAAACCACAGACATTGTCTAAAGCATTTGAAGTAGCAGAATTGCAAGAGTATGCACTAGAGGTACAAGTAAGCAGACAAAAACCTCGGGCAAGATTGCATTAGAGCCTATGTTTGGGATGTACAAGGGTCAAACTAGTGGACATAACCTGCCTAGTTCTTACAGGTTGCCTGCAATAACTCTCAATGTCAGGAAGTCTGAAGCTATACACAAGGAGGTTGGAAGGCTCTCAGCAGAAGAACAGCAGTACAAACGCAAAATAACCTGTGCTATAAGTGTGGAGAGAAGTTTGGGATGGGGCATCAGTATAGGACAAAAGATCTGAATTGCCTAAGTGTTGAGGAAGAAGAGGAGACTGATTTTGAGGATGCAGTGGGGAGCAGGATGAGCTCACTGGTAGAGTTGGTGAATTGGCTGAAGTATCACTAAATGCCTTGTTGACCTTGGTTGATCAGTCCTTGGTTTTGATGATTAACAAACCAAAATGTAGATTTGGACTAATGTTTTTATGTGAGAAATTTGTTAGAACAGGTCATTGATCCAAAAGAGAATCGAAAAGATTTGAATCAAAGAGAAGTTAAGAAATATGAAGGTTCGGACGTAGAGGATCGGACGCTCGATAGAGGATCGGACGTCCGACAGACGACGATACTCTTCGGACGCTCATTCATTGCTTCGGCCGTCCGACACAAAAAGAATGAAAGTTGAACATTCTGACTTCTATCGGACGCAGGGTTTCGGACGCAGAACAAATGATTCGGACGTCCGATAGGTGGTTCGGACGCATGGTTCGGACGAAGAGCAAATGGTTCGGACGAAGAGCAAATGGTTCGGACGTCCGACAGGCCAACGGCTAGTTTCGATAGCATTTAATATTTGACCGTTGGAGAGCCTTTTGGAGCCATTTCTCACCTTCTATAAATACCCCAAAACACAAGAAGACACAGACTTTTGCCAACACTAAATACAAGCTTACAAGTGAGATCTTTGAGTAGAAATATTCTTTGTTGGTTGTATAAGGGGTTGAGAAAGTTGGGTTGTGAGGTTGCTCAAGTGAAGGTTACTCTCTAGAAGGAGTAAAACCTTGGTGAAGGTGAACCTATCATTTGGAGTGGTAAAACCTTGATAAAGGTTGTCTCACTTGTATAAAGTAGTTCTTAATTAAGTGGGTAAGTTTTCAATTGTAGCTAGTTGATGGTTTACTTGGAGAGTAGTAAAATTCCTTTGCTCAACCAAAGTATGTTTGGGGTGAGGAAGGAGTGAACCTTCACTTGTACAAGTTGGTTAGCACTACCATCAATTGAAGAAGCTATTTGGTGGATTCAACTCCAAGTTTGGAAGAAGCTTGGGAGTTTGATTGGTTTGAATTTCTTTTACTTTATTGTTACTCTATTTTTGTACTTTAAAATTGCTTATATTCTTTGTCATTGTATTTACTTGACTACTTGTCTGGTTGAGTATTTTGGTTGTATTTGGTTGCATCGGGGCTTACAATTGGTATCAGAGTTTGGTCTCCTAGAGATTAAACTTAACCGCTTAGAGTAAAGATCATGGCAACCATAAATGTTTCTTTTTTAGAAGGGCAATCTATTGATAGACCACCTATGTTTAATGGTTCTCATTTTAGCATGTGGAAACAAAGAATAATGGTTTTCTTACAATCCGTTTATATTGAATTATGGTAT